CGAGCATTGTCACTCTCACTGCTGCTGCTACTATCACCCGACAACTGTGCATAATCCTCATCGTTGTCTGAATCATCAAACACACTTTCTTCACCTTCAGAGAATAATTCGTGGGCTATTTGCTCTGGGGTGAGGGATTGAGTGGTGCGTGCCCGTGAGGCGTTTGACCGTGCGCTCGCCATGGTGACTCGCTAAACTGAGGCCTCCCACGCCTTCGGTTCGTGAGCGGGAATTTTTTTCAAAATAACCGCTGTTTACTATAGCCCCTGGGCAGCGTATGGGAACCCCAGCTACACCGCGGGACATTCAAATCGTGCGCGGTACCCATATACGTCATATGACGTGAAGCGCAGTTGACTGGTACAACGCCTAGCACGTCATATGACGTGATGCGCACTTTAAGGGTTAAATCTAATCAGCCTGTGGTCTATTCTTGTGCCCATGACGTTCGTAAGTTTGCTGCTTTGGCTGCCATGTTCAACAACATGTCTTGGGCTGACATTCAGGCACGGGGATTTTGGGGGTCAAACAGGGTCCTGGCCATCCGTTATTTGGTCAACATTCCTGGTCCTGGTCGTTCATGTGTGGCTTTGGGTCGCAGGTGATAGCCAGTTGTCTCGACTTCGAGTTGAGGAGAGAGTGGCGGCCACCTCCCAGGTAAGTCCCTCTTTTACATATCTTTGGTTAGTTAGCTCCAGGGAACCGAAGGGGCTCCCTGCAGAAAACCATCATTGAATGTAATGAAACACCATTTTCTGGGCGAGCCCCGGAGGCTCCCTGGCACCCTCCCTCCCCCTGGTTGGCAGTCTCATTTTGATTTTGATGCTCAGCCTCTGAACTGGAGGTGTGAGTAGCTGGCACGGGGGGTTCGGGGCTTTCCTCTCCCCCTCCCGGGGAGAGGAGGGCTGCACGGACAAGTGGTATCGTGATAGTGTATGACATTTGCTTGTTTTCTTTGGTGTTGGGGGAGTTCTGCCTCTCTGTTCGGTCTACGGTTGCAATTTTCTTCCCAAGTGTTATGTTTTGTAATGCCTACCTTTCTGGGTGCCTAACCCCAGTGGATGGCAGATATGGAATGCCCCCAACCACATGGGGGTTTCCAGGGGTCATTGCTCCCTGTGCCTCTCTGAAGGGGATGGGGCCAGGTTCTGCCTCGTGGTGCCCGGTATGCTAAGCTCCAGTTGACTGATGCCCCAGACCAATATACAGTATCACATATCAGTCTGATTGCTCCAAATAGCCTCCAGGCCTCACCCAGAAAATTGCGTTTCATTACATTAAACGCTGGTTTTTCTTTTCCTCTTTTTTTATTAAAATGGTATACAGGTAGTTTTAAGACTAAGTATTGAAGCCATGTAATGGGATCAAATTGGCATTCCTGGATATGCCAGAAATATGAATTTAATTCTATCCCATGGCTTCAATTTTTTCTCATAAATAAATTATGTTCTTGTAATTTCATTCTTGATATGTTTTTGTTTTAATTTTTAAAACTTGTAAATTCTTGTAACTGCAAGTTATACAAAAATATATTTACAATATTGTATACAGTAAATGTTTAGTTACAGTATGATGTAAAAAGGCTTAGTATTATACAGTACTGAATTGTAATGTATAGACTATAACTACATTCTACTACCACTGAGCTAAGAATAAGAAGACCAACCTGTGCTACAGAAAGATAAGGAAACAAAAATTTACGTTTACAGTAAAATTTACAAATAATATTGATATACCACCAAAATCAATGTTTACATATTATTTTTTAGCTAAATATGTATAAATGCATATTGTGTTACTTACTACAAGAAAAATCAAGAAAATTTGGCAATAAAAAGCTAATAAAGGAAAAAATTTACGGAAATCTGGTATGGAACGATATGTCACATATTTCAGAGGTGCAGCTGGATAACCTTAAGGATATAACTGCAATCCCTATTGTAAAACTCTAGTCCTATGTAAGTATTACTTTATTATGACAACACTTAATGCATTAATCCTGCATTACCTGGGTTCAGGTACTGTTTTGTTTCTTAAATTTTCTGGAGAGCCCTTTCAGCTTCCCGGAGCTATATTGGGCTGATGTGTATATATTAGACCGTGTCAACAGTCAATTGATGGAGTTCTAGGCCTTCTGAGGGACCAGCCAGAACCAGGCCCCCCTCAGAGAGGCACAAGGAGCAATGGCCTATAGACACCCTGGTGTAATTGGAAGCAGTCTATATCTGGCATCTAGCAGGTTAGGCACCCATAAAGGTAAATTCCAAAACAAACTACAGCTGGTTAAAAATTGCAAATTGAAAGCCGAACTAGCAAGCAAAACTCCCCAATCGAGAACAGGCAAACAAGTATGATGTCACCCCAGCCGCCGCGCCACTGGGGTGACATCATACAACTCCCCCCTTCCCAAGACATCATACAACTCCCCCCTTCCCCAAGAAGGGAAAGGAGGGATCCCAGACCTCCTGCGCCGGCTACCGAACCCCAGTTCACAGGCTGTTGTGTTTGGTGGAGCTTGATCAACTCTGGCTCCATCCTTTTGAGCAGTGCTGCCCATAGCGGTGTTGTTCTTTTGTGTGGTTGTGTGCGAGCCAGGAGTAACACAAGAGTACTGGGGCTGCATGTGACTAGAGCCACCTTTCCCTAAGTGCTCTTTAAGTACTGCCCTTGCGGTTTAGGGTTATCTTCCATAAGCCGTTCGGGAGCCTACCTCCTCGCAGTTCTTTTGCTGCTCGGTGATTGCCCACCCTTGGCATCAGCTGGGGTTGTTCTTATTCCTGTTTGACCTTGGGTAGGAGGTTGTATGGTTGCTGGCTGGGGTGAAAGGCACTGTGAAGCTGTCTGATATATGCATAGCGACCGGTTCTGTTTCCCTGGGGACATTGTGCTGTTGCGGGATTTTTCTTTTTCTTTAGTTTTGTTTTGCCTGGTGGGGTCTGCCTGGTATGGCTGTAGGACCATTTGTATGATTTTGGTGCCCCCCCCCCCAGCTTGGTCCCCATGATTGCACATGTCACAGGGGTTCAGCTTTCAATTTGTTTGCTTGGTAGCTCTGGGATAACCAGTTATCAATACCTTGCCTAGGCTTCCCTTAGCAGTCAAACTAAGGGCCCTGGGAACCCCCATTGAGGCTCATTGGTCCGATGGAGAAGACCCATGAGTCCCCACCTCGCTTCGTGTGAGTTTGAAAGTTGCTCTGCCCCTTTGTCTCAGGGTGACATTCACCATGCAGAAAATGCAGAATAGAACCAGTGAAGAGCAGGGGTGCACAATCAGAGAACACTATATAAACATCAGAGGTCCACAGTTATTCAACTTCCTCCCAGCGAGCATAAGAAATATTGTGGGAACAACTGTGGACATCTTCAAGAGAAAACCAGATTGATTTCTAAAAGTGCCAGACCAACCGGGCTGTGGTGGGTATGTGGGCCTGTGGGCCGCTCTAAGCAACAGCCTGGTGGACCAAGCTCTTACAAGTCAAATCTGGCCTCAGGCTGGGCTTGGGGAGTAGAACTCCCAGAACCCCATCAAGCAGGTACCGTCTTTGCCTCCATCATGCTGCCTGTTGGGTCAATGACACCTTTGACCCAGAGTCTTGTGAGTGGTGTTCCTTGCGTGTAACTCAGTTCAACCAGTCTGATAATGCTGTTGAGCGGGTGCAGGCAACATGCGCGGTTTAGGTTGCTGCTAAAGATTGTTTTCTAAAAGAAGCGCCAGACCAACCGGGCTGTGGTGGGTTTGTGGGCCTGCGGGCCACTCTAAGCAACAGCCTGGTGGGAGTAGAACTCCCAGAACCCCATCAAGCAGGTACCATCTTTGCCTCCACCATGCTGCCTTTTGGGTCAATGACACCTTTGATCCGGAGTCTTGCGAGTGGTGTTCCTTGCGTGTAATTCAGTTCACCCAGTCCGATAATGCTGTTGAGCGGGTGCAGACAACATGAGCGGTTTAGGTTGCTGCTAAAAATTGTTTTCTAAAAGAAGCGCCAGACCAACCGGACTGTGGTGGGTATGTGGGCCTGCGAGCCGCTCTAAGCAACAGCCTGGTGGACCAAGCTCTTACAAGTCAAATCTGGCCTCAGGCTGGGCTTGGGGAGTAGAACTCCCAGAACCCCATCAAGCAGGTACCGTCTTTGCCTCCACCATGCTGCCTGTTGGGTCAATGACACCTTTGACCCGGTGTCTTGCAAGTGGTGTTCCTTGTGTGCAATTCAGTTCACCCAGTCCAATAATGCTGTTGAGCGGGTGCAGGCAACATGCACGGTTTAGGTTGCTGCAATGCTTTAGGTTAATTGTCTTTCCGGATGCCCCGCAGCTGCCCCACTTTGGTTATAGGGATCCGGACTTGGGGGTGTTAGTCGCTTCGAGTCTGGTTTCATCCACGCCCCCTTGTCCTTTCCCCTGCTGAGGTTCATGCTATTCCCCCCCCCCCCACTTCTCTGCTCCTGGCTCCCAAACGTCTAAGGGTTTCAGAATCGGGACAGAGTTTTCTTGGTGGTAAGACTTGGGTAGCTTCAGGGACTGCCCCCTTCTGGATTGGCAGCAGAGGCAGTCAAGCCTGTTCCTTCTGCTGAGGCTTTTGGGTTGCGCCAGCACAGCCCCCTTCATTCCTGCTTTTCCGCTGGCAGCAGTGGTGACGTCATACTTATTTACTTGTTTTCGATTGGGGAGTTCTGCTTGCTAGTTCGGCTTTCGGTTTGCAATTTTTAACCAGCTGTTGTTTGTTTTGGAATTTCTACCTTTCTGAGTGCCTGACCTGGTAGATGGCAGACATAGACTGCTTCCAATTACACGGGGGTGTCTATAGGCCATTGCTCCTCGTGCCTCTCTGAGGGGGGCCAGGTTCTGGCTTGTGGTCCTTGGTAGGCCTAGAACTCCATTGATTGACTGTTGACATGGTCTAATATATACACATCAGCCCGGTATAGCTCCGGGGAGCCTCCGGGTCTCACCCAGAAAATGGTGTTTCATTACATTCAACGGTGGTTTTATGTAACTTACTTCATATGCAGCATCTACAGTATGGAAAGCCTTCAAATATCGCTTTAATGTCCTCTCATCAATTTTCATATGTTCAATACTTATAGCGGATGATGATAACTTTTCTTTAAGTTGTATGACTTGTGCCATCACTGCTAACAAAATAATAAATCTGAAATTTAAAAATTAATGAGTATGTTTCACAGACCTCAAATTGAATACTACATAGTACAGTACTGTACTGTATACAATATAAATGACTGATGAAATATTTCTGTATTAACCCCTGCACTGTGCACCTGTTTTTTGGCAAAAATTTCATGGTGCAATTGTTAAGAACATACTTTTGTTGTTTTTATAAATGTTCAGCTAATCTTAATGTCAAAATGTTTCTAAACTCAATCATTTTCATTTCAAATCACAAAGAGTGATGAAAACATTAAAAACCTTAAAATATGGCCTAATTAAAGAAAAAACATGCAACCCTCAGACTGTCTTAACCCTTAAACTGCGCAACGCTCCTGCAGGCTATTGTCTGGTTTGAGCAATGCGCCCCCGGGTATTAGTATTTCACATTCCATTCAAAACTGGCGCACAATGACCCGGGTACGAAATAGATGCCTTGCGGCCCCAGTGATCGTCCGCCATCTTGAAAAAAAATCCCAGCATGCCCCGCAGCCATGGGGGAGCCTCAGTTTCAAAGCAGCAACCATGTCTGATGCATCGTCTATGAGCTCCTGCTCCACGGTGACCCGCGGTCATGGACTCTCTGAGGAGAAACGCGATCTTTTGTATGATGACGGTGCTATGGATAATGACCTAGACTATGATCCAGAAAAAGACCTTACACAGAGGTCTGATACGAGTGAGGGAGAGACTGAGGTAGACGATGTGGCGAGCGTGTATGTTACATGCGCCTTGCCCGGCCTGCCTCGCCGCCCTGGGTCAACACCATTATCATCACCACCACCACCATGTATGTCACCAGATGCAAGTTTATTTAGTGACAGTACATACGATGAATCGTTCTCGGGGTTCAGTGACATAGGCTCCGATACGAGTAGTGTGGACGACCCAACTACGAGCAGAAAGGGTGTTACCAGGCGGGGTTTTGCTGCCTCAGCAACACATCACAGCAGGCGGCAACGTGCCTCACAGCAACGGGACAATGACGACAGTTGCCCCTCAACATCAGGTATTCGTGGTAGGCCTACAGTACGTAAATCTGTGTCATCGCCTAGCATACCCTCATGCAGCTCCAGCAGCAAACGACATAGCTGTGTTTTTGGTGCCCGTGGTGGTGTTGGCCATGGTGTTGGTGCCATCACCTAACCCCCGGGTGTACTTGTGTGAGAGGATTGAGCCACGTTTGTCTCTTACATACAGTACCAACGTTTGATGCTAGTGATTTTGATGTTACACCATTATTCCCATATACCGGTGATGATATGGCAGAAATGGAATATTTCAAGGCATATTTCGACAATGAATTCATGACGCATCTTGCAAACAGGTTCGCTCACAGCCTCATAGATGCCGGCATTTTACCTGCCTCACGCCTCACACAATGGAAGGACACGATAATTGATGAAATGTATGTGTTTCTGGCACTCAACATGATGATGAAGCACTCCGAGAAAGCTGTCATCCAGGATTATTGGAGCAAAGACAGCCTAGTTCCATTGCCCGTGTTCAACCGGTATATGTTGCATGATAGGTTCCTCTTGATTCTCAGGTGCCTGCATTTCGAGAATAATGCAAATGAGAACAGAAACGACAGACTGTGGAAGGTACAGAAGGTGTTCAGTGACATGAGAGGGAAGTTCAGAAAATATTTTGTACCTGGACAAAATGTGGTTATCGACGAGTCGCTAGTACTGTTCAAGGGGTGACTGGCATTCAAGCAGTACATCCCACCAAAGCAGAACCATTTTGGACTGAAGTTTTTCATGCTGTGCGACTGTGAGACTGGTTTGGTGTTGGACATGATATTGTATTCTGGTACAGACGTCGACATGCCAGCTCAAGATGAACACGGGTTCTCCGGCAATGTCATAAAAACCCTGATGGAACCGTTGCTGAACAATGGGCATATAGTGGTCACCGACAACTATTACACCAGCCCCTTGTTGACCAGATACCTCCTCGCCCACAACACTGGCGTATGTGGCACTGTGAAGGCCCACAGGAAGGAAATGCCAGTGTTTGGTATTGGTATAGCAGTGGGTGATTGGCAGCTGCACAAGTGTGACAATATGCTGTCAGGAACACTACCCGCAGAGAATAAAAGTGAAGATGCATCAGCACCTGGTGCATGGAGTGCAAGGTGCCACTATGCCCCGTTGGCTGTTTCGCTGCATATCACACACTCACGGATTAGGGTTTGTCATTAGGGTTTGTTCAGTGTATTTAAGGTAGGCTGCTCCATTATTTAAAACATTGAATATCATATTGATGTTTTTCAGTGGTAGAGCAGATTAATTTGATTTCCATTATTGTCAATGGGGAAATCTGTTTTGTATGACGTCCTTTTCACATGACGATCACGGTGCAGGAACGGATTAGATTCGTTATTCGAGGTTCCACTGTAATTGTATTCTAATTATTTTTATAAATTTAATCTCCCACCCTCATTTGCCACATCACTTGTTGAGTTACCTGGCATACACCTGGAGTGGATTCTGGGAGTTGTTCTACACCCCAAGTTCAGCCCTAAACTTGTGATAATTTTGTCGAACAAGATGTTGTGTGGAGTGTTCCAAAGGTCCATATATCCACTACAATCCAGTTGGTCAGGAACGTCTTGCAGGAAAGTGTCTAATTTTCTCTTGAACACTTACACTTTTGTACCGGCAATACTTCTTAAGTATGATGGAAGGATTTTGAATAGTTGAGGACCTCTGATATTCAGTGTTCACTAATTGTACAGTATCTATGTCACCTCTACTTTTCACTATGTCTATTCTGCATTTTCTGCTATATCTCTTGCTCCAGTTATTTTATTGGGCAAATTTGGTACCAAATCTTCCAGTATCTTCCATGTACAGTATATATTATATGATACCTCTCTCATCTCCTTTTTAGGGAGTATATTTTGAGAGCTTTGAGATGGTGCCAAGAGTTTAGGTGCTTTATAATTTTGATGCGTGCTGTATGTGTTGCACTTTAGAAAACAAATATAAATAGAATGCCCCAACCAAAGGGTTTTGCAGAGTATCAGTGACTCCTGCACTACCCTGAGCGGGGCTCTCCACCCTGTTGGCCTCTTGGGCAAACTCTCAAAATACCATAGAAGGTAACTAACCATGCAGGAGCAATGCTAAAGGAGCACCTAGGGAAGGGAGCCCTAGACAAATACAGCGCCCAAGCGCATATAATGCCAGATTCACTCAAACGTGTAGCTTGAAAACATGCTCATGGAATAAAATAAAAACAAAAAAGATATGGTAGCAAAATGCAAGCACTAAATACAATGAAATGCCCTTTCTGGGAGTAGCCCCTCCCTTTCAATTCGGGCACAGAAGTGGTTGAGCCCAATTTTCCTGCCAAAGCTTCTGGGTCGACCCAGCAAACTCCCTTCTTTACAGCTTTTTCCCTGACTTCTTCTTTTCTTCAGGGGCGGTGGGCATCGATGAGGGCTCTGTCCCAGGGCCTCTGGTGAGGGTTTCCGGAGCCTGAGGCAGTCCGCTTGGAGCGCTTGGCTCCGGTTGCCCCAGCTTGGGCCTTTGTGCCTTCTGGGCTGGGATTGTTGCAGTGGGGGAGGGGGTTTTCGTACCTCCTTCCCTTCTACATTGGTTTACTATATTTGCTGGTGTGAATTACACACCCTCGCATCGGACGCATCCATCTTTGGTTTGGATGTTTTGCGGTGGTTTAGTTGATTGGTTTTTTTGGCAGCCATTTAGCACTGCTGGGAGAACTTCCACACTCGGCCGCCAGGGCCACGCTCTGAATCATGTTTACCTGCTGGGTAATCGTAATTGTGTTGCCTGCTGGGTGTTGGCACTCGCTTTTTGGGGCATTTTTTTTACTTAGTTCCTGCGCTCTTGTTCTTATTGGTGACTGCTTGATGGGATTCTGGGAGTTCTTCTACTCCCCAAGGCCAGGCTTGACCTGTGAGAGTTTGGTCCACCAGGCTGTTGTTTGGAGTGACCCGCAGGTCCACATACCCACCACAGCCCAATTGGTCTGGCACTCCTTGAAGAAAACTATCTAGTTTTATCTTGAAGATGTCCACGATTGTTCTGGCAATATTTCTTATGTTTGCTGGGAGGATGTTGAACAACCTTGGACCTCTGATGTTTATACAGTGTTCTCTGATTGTGCCTATGGCACCCCTGCTCTTCACCGGTTCTATTCTGCATTTTCTTCCATATCGTTCATTCAATTACAGTACCTTGTTATTTTACTTTGCAGATCTGGTCTTTGACCTGGTCCTCTAGTATTTTCCACGTGTATATTATTTTATATCTCTCTCGTCTCCTTTCTAGTGAGTACATTTGGAGAGCTTTGAGACGATCCCAATAATTTAGGTGCTTTATCGCGTCTATGTATGCCGTATATGTTCGCTGTGACTGTCGTTACCTTTGGTGTGACACATCTCTGGTTTGGGTTATGTCTGCTTTGTTAACCTCCCAAGCTGCTAAGGGCTATTTGGTCTTTGTCACCCACAGGAGCATTAAAAAAAAAACGAAGTTGCCACAAAGATATAATTACCTAACTATTTCAATGTCACAGATTGATTTTTTCTTTGTTTTTTTCCTATAATATTATTCGATAATGTGTAGTGTGATGTTGAAGCAAACAACATACTGTAATTTGAATTGCCTTGCCACATATAATTATTAAATATTCAACTAGAAACCTCAACTTACCTTGTTGTTGTTCGTCTTCTTGATTGATGCCACACATCTTGAAGTTATGAATTCTTGACAATTTACGTAACCTATACTAACACAACACTAACATTAACACTTAAAATTACTGTACAGTTCGTTAAGCAAAGTTAGTTTTGACTGCCAGCTGCTGAAGCAAACTGGTTGAAGGAGCTTGGCTTGCCTCTGATGCCTCACTGGTTGAAGGCACCTGGGTTGCCTGTGAGGCCCCACTAGTTGAAGGCACCTGGGTTGCCTATGATGCCTCACTGGTTGAAGGCACTTGGCTTGCCTGTGA